TCTTCTTCTTCTTCTTCTTCTTCTTCTTCTTCTTCTTCTTCTTCTTCTTCTTCTTCTTCTTCTTCTTCTTCTTCTTCTTCTTCTTCTTCTTCTTCCTCTTCTTCCTCTTCCCTTCCTTCCCAAGGGATGTGTGGAAGGCGGTTCGATTGTCTCTATGGCCCTGAATCGGGGTCGAAGAGATGTCGGTGGATATGTCCTTGGTCTTTTCTCTTTCCTCCTTTCTCCCTTGCCCTCTGTCGGCCTCCTTCGTCCTTTTCTCTGCCTAGGTTTCTTTTCTTTCCCTTTCTCCGTCTCCCTTCGTTCTCTGTTCCCTCCTGATCCTGACCTGCCCGATTCCTTCTATCCATCCATCCATGCCCTTCATCAGAATCCCACGCTCCAATTTCCAACTGTCGACTTTTCCAGCGGGCCCAAAGAATTTCTCAGATCTCTCGCTCAGTCTCTAGCATTTTTACAAGCGACCATGCGTCTCAAAGTCCTTGTACCCCTCACCCTTGACGAACGTGTACAGCCACGGCCCTTGTTCCTTCTGCTCGGCCAGTTTCAAGTACTCTTCTGCCGCGGCAGAGCCGGAGACCGCGTTCCCGACGGGTAAACCCTCTGCATTCCGTTCATCGGCGTAGTAGAACCTTTCATCGGAGGCGTGTGAATGGTTAGTTGGGCCACGCTTGTTGAGGGCTGCCTCCGAGACGAGAGAAAGGAGAAGGGGAAAGAGAAGGAAGAAAGGGATAGAGGTGCAAGTGCTGACAGGCGACAAGTGGGGGAAACACTTGATCAGTCGAGTGACGTGAGAACTTACCTGACACCCTCGGCAGCGTAGATCTTGTTCTCTACAAGATACCTGATGGCATACGCGGTGTTGGTCTTCCCTAGCCCGAAATTCAACATGCCCTTCAAGGTTTTGAGGTTCAGCATGTTGCCCGTGAAGATGAATGTCTTTGACGCATCGTTCGAGGCGGGCAAGTTACGGAAGGACTTGACTGCTTCGTGAAGGGAGACCAGGGCCGACGTGGCGTTGACGGATTGCGAGTCGTGGTAGGTCTGGATGGATTCTGGAGCGAAGAGGGAGAGGGGATCGGCAGGATCCGGCTTGAACATAGCGGCTGTGAGAAAGGAGTTAGTTTCCATCCCCAAGGTGAACGGTTCGTAGAGAGTCCCCGAGAAGAGCCTAGACCTCAGAAGCTTGGGCTGATAGAGGAAGGCTGTCGTTGCGCGGCAAAGTTGACGGGTGAACAAGCAAGCATGCAGGCGAGTTCAGACCATGGCAACTCATCAGCGCTTCCTTGTTTTCAAGGTCGACACACAGCACCCGCTGCCTTTTTGCGAAGCCTATATCGCTTCGTCCTTGTCCCAGTTTCGGGGGCACCAGCTTGATAACAATCTCTGATCCCCGTTGCACATACACCTCTCGACAAGCCGCTCTCCCTCCACCGAGCAGCACCACTCCGAACTCACGCCGCTTGCAACGGCAAGCAAGACTGAAGAGCACAGCAAACAAAGGTGCCCGAAACGTACCGTTATACACCACGACGCCCACCTCGCCACCCAGCTCCTTCCTGACCCTCTCAAAGACGCCCGGGACTGTGTCGGGCCTTGTCAGGTCGACAGGGATATGCAGGGCCGCGCCGTCGTTGGTCTTGGGCGGCGTGCGGGAAGCGCTGGCGACTTTGTACCCCTTTGCAGAGAAGGCTTTGGCCAGAGCAGCCCCGATGTTCGGGCCGGCGCCAAGGATGAGGATGATCTTGGGCACGGAGGATGCCATTGTGCGACTCAGGACCTGATGGGGGGCAGACAAGGTGTCGACTCTGAGCGAGCGGGTTTGGTCAACGAAAGAGCTGTAGTTTTGCTTCAAGAGGCTTGTAGAATGCTGGAGGCCCGACGGTCTCAAGAGATTCATCCATTCATTATATACCAAACCTCTTCCCCGTCTGTACGTATTGTGGCAGGCCGAGATCCCAAGACTTAGAGTTAGCTATCCACCCACCCCCGCCAGAATCACAGGCCCGTAGAGCAAAACCATAAAGGTCGATTTCAAATCACGCGTCTGGGCCTGAATTGCGTGCCTGGTCAGTTGCGGCCTCAATACACCGATGTATGCCGCGGCCGTCTCGCCGTTCTTCCTAATCAGGCTGACAAACAATGTCCGGTCCAATCAACCCCGGCCAAAAGCGAAGGAAACGGACGAAAGTTCATACGATGCAGAGTCTGGACCGTCTGTAAAAGTCTCCGTTGCAAAGCATTGCTCTTGTCTAGTTGGATGGATGGAATGCGCAGGCATTTGACAGAGCGCACATTCTCACTCTGGGATTACCCATCATCCTGCTGGGCAGGGTGAGACAGGCTCGGCGAGCTGGTAACTACTGTAGCTATGATGTTTTTGAAAGTGTGGAATGCCGCCTTGTCACGCACTGGCTGGACCAGATTAATGATCAATCATTACTTGCCTCAATCATTTCGAGGCTCTGTACCAATTCATATTGGGAAGCGGTTCCCTTATCTTCGTCATTCTGTTGACAGGAACTTGGTCTCTCTCGGTCTTCAGCTCTCTCGGTCTCCTCTCTTGATTATCCATTCGTGTCTTATTACAGTGTCGTGCTTCGTAGACGCCTTGCTGTCCCTCAAGTGGCGTAGCCCCAAGCCAAGAGCAGTCCACACGTCTCCATCAGGATATCTTTACCAGCCAGAACCACCAGCAGCTTGCGCACCACCCCAGGCAGACTCGCCAGTCTGAGGCGTTTCCCAGTCAGCAGGCGCAGAGCCAGTGGTTGGAGTAGTCTCCCAACCAGTACCAACATCATGTGCACCGTTGACTTTCCCAAGACCAGGCCGTCCAGAAACCTCGGCTGATTGAGCTTGAGGGCAGCGCGAACGACCATGACCTTTCCCATTGCTGTTACTCGCGTTAGAAAGACAGACACCTGAAGGCTCAGCAAAGCCACTTACCAAATGCTGCAGGTAACGTGAGTCCAGTCACGAGGTGGGCGGGGACCAGCTTGACCTTGCTTGGGGCATTCCTGCAAGAGCACGTTCAGAAAGACCAAACATGTAAGAGGGAGGGAGAGAGAAAGACTTACGCGAGCAATGTGGCCTTCCTCACTGCAGATGTTGCAGGTAATCTTTCGGGGTTGGGAGCAGTCTCGAGCCACATGATCTTCGTCGCCGCAGTTACGGCAAGTTCTCTTTTCACGAGTCGGACAGTCCTTCGCCATATGATCCTCCTCTCCACAGTTGCGGCAAGTTCTCTTCTCGCGAGTGGGACAATCTCTCGCCATGTGGTCCTCGTCGCCACAGTTACGACAAGCTCGCTTCTCCTTGTTGGGACAGTCCTGTGGAATCGGATCAGTCTTGTACGGTAGCGGGGTTAGCAGTGAGAGGATATACCTTGGCCAAATGTTCCTCGGACTCACAGATCTTGCAGGCGCGACCACCACGCTTACGCTCCTGGGCACAGTCACGAACACGATGACCCTCCTCACCACACAAGTAGCAGGTAACGGTGGGCTGAACACTTGCAATTCTTTCCTCAAGGCAGCGCTTGGTAATATGGCCGACCTTATTGCAATTGTTGCACTTGTCAACTCCACGATCAAGAGGAACGCCGGCATCAGCAAGACGAGCCAGGTTTTCCTCGGCCGACACAGGCCATTTGTCGACGAGCGTAGGACGCTGAGGTTTGTCGGAGGTGAAGTAGCTCACAGCGTACTTCTTGCCGGTCTCGCCTTGGAGATTGACATTGGTCCAAGTGTCACCATGGTCTTTCAACTGCAGGAGTGGTCAACAGGAGACCATGTACGGTTTTGTAGATACAAACATACCATGGCAATCAAGTAGATGCTGAAGTCACGCTTACGGAACTCCTTCTCGAGATCAGGATAGGTGTAGTGAGGAGCAGCCTTGGACAAAATTTGAAGTGCCTCTTTGAAGTCTCCGATATCACGTTCATGACTGGCTTGCTTGAGCAAGTCCCAGGCCTCGTTCTCCGACTTGTCAGCAACGCGCGCATTGTCGACAAACTTGGGGTTGGTGCAGTTCAGGGCGTCGTGGCCTTCCTGGTGACAGTTCTTGCATTTGACGACACGGGTAGGGCAGTCAGCACCCATGTGGCCCTCTTGACCACAGTTGCGACATTCGCCCTTGAACTTGCGAGGGTGAGGGCACTCGGCCTTGGACTGGGTACATTGTGAGCGGGCTCAGCGACAGGAGAATGAATACCTACATGACCCTCCTCGCCCTGTGAGATCTTAGTGAGAGTAGAGCGAAACGCGATGATTCCACTTACGCAATTGAAACAAGCACCTATCTTGCGTTCATTACCGCCATTCATGTCATCACCGTAGATGCCAGCTCCGAAGGCGTTGTCTAAGCCATCGGGCATTGTGATGGCACCATCGTCATTCCAGCCTGAATCGACTATCACAGTCAGTACGCTCACTGGAAGCCGAGTCAGGAAGGCAAACACGAAGAGGGGATTTCTTCTATCATCCACAGATCTGGGTACTTGTAGCAGGGTTTTGTTGCACGTAAGATCCTCTTGCGAAACTCGTACATGTTTGCTTCGAGTGTACAAGAGGTTGAAGATGGTGTAAAACGTTTGGGAGGAGAATAGGAGGAAGGAAGGAGTGAATTACTTACATGCGCTGGCCGCGCCGGCAGAGTCCCAGCCGCTCATTTTGGTCGTGACAGTGATGATACGATAATGCGGCAGATCGGAGAAGCAGACGGTTGACGTCCAGGTCCAGGGGTCGGGTATGAAAGAAGAATCGAAGGCTGTGAGAATGTGTGAGTGTTTTAAGTCGAGAGGAGGAGGGAAAGGAAGTCAGTGAGGTGAATGCCAAGATGAATCGAGTTGAAAGAGTCTCGGAGAGCAGAGACGTATCTTGCACTCTCAACACAACGCAAAAACACCCAACCCTGCCAGACCACAATGCTGTCTCGATGCACTCCTGATCGCTCTGGTGATTATGCGCAGGCAATAGCAACGATAAACCTGCAGTTCGTGATCCTGTCCCTCACTGATAGTAAGCAGCAGACTGCTCACGTCGCAATCAAGTTTGCTACCTCATCACCGATGGAGGAACGGGAGGAGAGTTGTCCAGCCCGAAGCATTGTCCCTTTGTTCACGCACACAGCCCGACATATGCTTCCAGCCTAGCAGTGGACACATCTGCACATTACTGGAGACGGAGCTGCTGATATTGGCTGGAAAGAAGCAACGCCCTAGCGCATTGAGGATCGGCAAGGCTCTGAACATTGCCGGGGACCAAGTTGAGAGTCCTACTCACTGGACTCCGTCTTTGCATGTGTCGTGCAGGGGAGACATACCGAGGGCCGATATCCTGCATGAGAACGTGAGTATGCCATGCACGGTTGTGAGCTCATGTGGTAACAGGACGTTGTCTAGGACGTTGAGTTTTTCTTTGTCTTCAGGGGCCGTAATCTCGGATCTGTTAGCGGCTGGTGTGGAGAATGCGGCTATCCGAAAGGTGAGAAGTCGCTGCCATTGGAGACAGGAACAAGTGCTCACAACCCGTCTTCTAGTGATTCCACCGTCGTTCGAACTCAGCCGTCTACATACTTCCTCTGCAAAAGACCGATCGCACTTTGGCCTGGTTCCTCCTCTCTGAAGCAAGACGAATCTCCACCAGCAACGGGTCCACATACGAGATTTGCAGCCGTTTGCTTTTTACGAGTCTCTTTCCGCCAGGTGCTTCGGAGAATTCCAAGAATGCCGTCAAGGAACATGCTATAAAGAGAGACGCAAGACATATCAACGTCGTATTGTGGCATTAGGCTTGGCTTGCTGGATATCCGATAAATGGAATTCGGCTGTCAGATGATGACGGGCATACCGATTTTTCTTCCGTCAAGGGACGACAGATCCTGACATATATAAGCCGAAAGGGACCCATTCTCGCCGGGGCAGAACGCTACAAGGGCAGAACTCCATTACAGTCTAGGTCGAAATTCCGCCTTCGCCATGTCTCTCAAGTCCTTCCGCAAGATCTTGCCGACCGCGTTCCGGGGGATCTGACTGAGATATATCACGCCGCCTCTCAGCTGCTTGTATGGCGCCGTCTTACTCTTGACAAACTCCTTGATCTCTTCCTCTGAGATCTTGTTCTTGTCGGCCACAACATACGCTCGAGGCACTTCGGTCCCTTCCCCAGGCACACCAATCACTGCTGCATCTTCGATCAAAGGGTGAGAGATCAAGAGACCCTCGATCTCAGCAGGCGCCACTTGAATGCCCTTGTACTTTATCAACTCTTTCTTCCGATCGGTTACGTACCACAGTCCATTGCTTCGTTGCTGGAGAATGTCTCCTGTGCAGTACCAACCGTCGACAAAGGCCGCTTTTGTAGCTTCGGGGTTTCTGTAATAGCCCTTTGTCACCATTGGACCTTTTACCCAGAGCTCGCCGGGTTGACCCTCAGAGACATCGTTGCCATCGTCATCAACAAGTCTGAAGGTCGTGTTCGGATGCATTATTCCGACGCTGCCGGTGTCATCGGGCGTTCCTCGAGGAAGTGTGCAGACAGAGCCAGTAGTCTCACTCATGCCGTATGTTCCTCCCATTTGAATTCCTGTTCGTTTCCCAGCCGAATTGCAGAGATCCGCATCCATTGGTGCCGCACCACCAAGGCCGCCCTCCAAAGAATCAAAGTGATCGGTGACATCGGGCGATTTGGCGATCCGAGCCCAGATGGCGGGCACAGTGAAAAACGCTGTGATTCTGTGCTGTTTGTTATAGTCGATGAATTT